TTGACTATTGCTCTTTCAGGTGACAGTAGGTATGTAAGATTCCGTGCCTCTGGGCATTGAGCCCACGGTCTCCCACCCACTCAGCAAGGGATCTAAGACTGAGCCATGCTTCCAGACCGCAGAATGAGTAATCTTGATGTTAAACATTTGACGGTAAGTTTTCTTAGGTAGACTTTTCAACTAGTTATTGATTATCCTGATAAGGTCTATTGTCACAAAATTAATGATAACTAGGAGGATCAAAGTCTTGCTGGGTGTATATCGTCTTCTTTGTATCAGCACTGAATAGTATGTCCCCTTTCATATCATTTGACAAGCAATGAGGTCAGTTATTTATTTAGTTTTCACCCAAGTCTCTGGCCGGCCAGGCTGTGAACATTTTCGCTACAAAAATCATGCTTTTATTCCTCAAGTGCCTGGTTCAATAACTGTCGAATGGATGCATGAAACTTAGAAACGGTGGAAGAAACTGTGGTCTCCCTCGGGGTCTGTCTGGTGCAATTACAAGTAGATGCTAATATGACCAGGCAAAGGCCACGGTTAGCTGTCCTAACCGGTGAATAATATACTTGGCTGTGGCTGTTCAGGAATGTAATGGCTGACAGACGCGGTGGGCTTTTTCTCCAAGCCCTGTACCTGAGGCTTCCAGGGCATTTACTGTCTTTGTCCTCACAGCCCTGGTGAACTTTTACCTACACATGGAACTTAACCCAACTGAGGCACCAAGCGAGTGGCATGGTGCAGGCCCACAGTCCCCGCCACTGGAGAGGCTGAGGCAGGAGGATGGCATGACCCGTGGGATTAGAGGCCAGCTGGGGTAAAATAGTGTATGGCATTTCAGAAAACAAAACAACAACAAACCACAGCACAAACAGATTGAGTGATTCGACCCGGACTCAAACATTCAAGCAACCAGACCCAGATCGTGTGCGTTCAACCCGATGGCTATGTTTCATTAAAGCAAGAACCGAGGCAGAGAAATAAGGCCCCCTGCCCCCTTTCTGACCCCTAACAAAACTTGTACTTAAAAATTTTAAATACAAAAGTGATAGTAAAATGGAAAATTTCCCATCGACACCTACATTTTAACCGTTTATGCTTTTTCTTTAACCAACCTAATCCTAACTCTATGTTTGGTGTTTTCAGACAGAGTGGCAGGTAGCCCAGGCTAGCCTAGACTACTTAGCTGAAAATGGCCTTGAACCTCCCTTCTCCTCCACCTCCCACGTGCCTCGGAAGGATTGTTGGAAAATGGCTCTTGACCTTCCTTCCTTCCTTCCTTCCTTCCTTCCTTCCTTCCTTCCTTCCTTCCTTCCTTCCTTCCTTCCTTCCTTCCTTCCTTCCTTTCCTCCCTTCCTTCCTTTCCTCCCTCCCAGCTTTCCTTCCTTCCTTCCTTTCCTTCCTTTTAAAAGTTAAACCGTTTTATTAGAGAAATTAGGACAATTTAAACCCTGCCGTCCAGGCAGGCGGCGGTGGTCTCCAGCTCCCGTCGAACCCCGCGCCAGAAAACAGCAGGACACACCCCGGGGACACCCAGAGCCTGACTCCCCCTGGGTTGAGTTTTTCACCTCCTTGCTTCAAGGGAAGAACTTCCCTAGTTCCTTCGCCAGTCTGTCTGGGCGCCCTCTGTTTAAACTTCAGCCCTGGCACCTAATACATCACGCGTGGGATGAGTCACTAGCGGGTCTGTCTCGGTGGCTAAACCGGGCTGCGTCGCCACCAGGGTTGTCGTCTCAGTGCCAGCTGCAGGCTGCGGGGAGCTAGCTTGGTGGGCGCTCAAGGTGCTCTTAGAAACGAGCCCCCCCACCCCATCTCAGGGCTCCCAGCACCCCAGTCCGGTGCAAAGCATCTGGGGGTCCCAGGTGACCCCTGCCTGCCCTCTCCTTGCCCGGCTGGCTGCCCCGACTCCTGGCACGGCTCTGCCGGCCTCGGGTGCCCCGGCCCTGGCCACCCCCCTCGCCCAGTTCCCCAGCTTCCAAACGCGGCCCGGAGCTACCGGGGGAACTGGAAAAACA